AAAAGAAAGAAAGGGAATGTAATAGGACTAACCTGATAGGAGTATAGAATGGGAATAATCAACAAAATGTAGTGAATTTTGAAGAGCTTAGTATTGGAAATACTTGTTATAACTGCTCATTGCAGTGAGCTGAACACTGTTTTTATGCAGTGCATACGTCTCATTCCATCTGGTACAAATATGCCTGTCATATTCAGAAAAACACAGTTTCCAATATGGTTGGCCTTGTTAATGACTATCCATGGTCATAGATCAGAGTACCTAACGAAAAGTCACATTTCCATCACTAATGGTAAATATTAATGTACTCCTTTTGGGAACAATGAAAAAACACATACTTACAAATATAGGTATATTGGTTGATAATAGCATGTGGCAGTGTTTCTTAATCTTGGCTGCATAATATGCTCAGTATTTTTTTAATGAGCTTTTAAAAAATTATTTTGCCAATTTTAAAGGCATAACTTTGTTTTACAGTGATAACTCATAATTGAAATATTTTTTATTCAATGCAAATCTAATTTTTAAAATATTTTTATTTTGGTAAAATATACATAACAAAATTTACCATCTTAGTCATATTTAAGTATTCAATTCAAAGAGTGGCATTAAGTACACTCACAATATTGTATAATCATCTCCACTGTCTATTTTCAGAACGTTTTCATCATCCCAAACAGAATTCCACCTACTAATAACTCTCATTCCTTCCTCTCCCCAACCCCTGGCAACCACTATTCTATTTTCTGTATCTATGAAATTGACTATTCTAAATACTTCATATTAGTGGAATCATAGAATAATTGTCCTCTTATATCCCATGTATTTTAATTAGCATGTTTTCAAAGTTTGAAGAATATATCAGAACTTTATTCCTTTTTGTTAGTGTTATTAATCCTCACCCAAGGATATTTTTCCTATTGCTTTTCAGAGAGAGTGGAAAGGAAGGAGGTAGGAGGAGAGAGACAGAGGAGAGAGAGACATCAATGTGAGAAAGACACATGGATTGGTTGCCTCCTGCACACACCCTAATTAAGGCCAGGGATCAAACCTGCAACTCAGGTATGTACCCTTGACCAGGAATTGAACCCATGACCCTTCAGTGCACAGGCCGATGCTCTAACCATCGAGTAACACCGGCCAGGGCAGAATTTTATTCCTTTTTAAGACTGAATAATACCCCATTATATGTATACACCACATTTGCTTATCCATTCATCTACTTATGGGCACTTGGATTGTTTCCATTTTTCAGCTGTTGTGAATAATGCTGCTATGAACATGGGTATACAAGATCTGTTTGAATCCCTGTTTACAGTTCTTTTGTGTATATACTTAGGAGTAGAATTGCTGATTTGTATGATACTTCTCTTTTAAAATTTTTGAGGAGTCACCGGCTCTTTCCCAGCAGTTGTACTATTTTATGTTCCCATGAGCAGTGCGTGAGGGTTCTAATTTCTCCACATCCTCACCTACACTTATAATTTAACATTTGTTTATTTTGTGTGGCTTTTTTTATACTAAACTGTCCTAGTGGGTATAAAAAGATATCTCATTGTGGTTCTGCTTGCATTTCCCTGATGACTAATGATATTGAGCATCTTTTCACATGCTTATTGGCCATCTGTTCATCTTTGGAGAAATGTCTATTCCGGTAATTTGCCCCCTTTTTTATTCTAGTTTCGTTTTTAAATCATGATTTCTCCAACTGGGTTCTGTGGTATATTCTAAAGGAAGAGGGTCTAAGCTCTTCCAGTTTCAGCTCCTTTGGGGAACCCAGGCCTTTGTGCTCCAGTGACACTGCCTCCTTTTCTCTCTCCCACCGAGGGTTGGTAGTCACTTCTTGCTGTGGCTAATCTTTGGGTCACTTCACTGTTCCCTGTTTGACCCTCAAATCCTCCATCAGTTATGTATCAAATTCTTTTAATTAACTTCTTAAACTGATGTAAATATTTGATATAATTTCTGTTTTTCTGGGCAGACCCTAACTGTATCAGCATCTAAACTCCCTCATTTCAGAGTTGAGAATATGTTGACCTTATTTTCTTCCAAATGTATTTTAAAAGTGTCTTGGTCATTATGTTCAAGGAAAAACCTTGCTGGCATTCCTGAAACTGGGAACTTTACAAATTTCTTCAGATTCATGAGATTAGTAGAAGGCCAGGAATTGGGACCACAATGCTTTGATTCTCAATCCTCTTCTCCCTCTAATAAATTAAAACTTGCAAGGTAGGGATCAGGGTAACTAAAGGAGTGGGACAGGGGACTTTACTTTTTTACTATTCCTTTTGATTTTTAACCACATAATTCTTTTACCTATTTAGAATAAATTTAAAATATTTAAAGTAAAATAAAATGTCTACCTTTATACATGTGGTATATAAATGTGGGTCTTTACAAAGTGTCTTTTTGTTTTAAATGTCAGCTTGCTTGCTAGTTATTAGTTTTCACAAAACAGAAGACTTCACTAAGCATGCAATTATTCATAAGCTTACACACACACACACACACACACACACACAAAATGTAGTTCTATATACTGGTAAATAAATCTATGTTAATCCCATTTATTTTCGTTTTCTAGAATAATGATCTTCAAACATTTTTTGGTAATATTTTCCAATATGTATCTATACTTCAATTATGTGTAACGTATATTTATAATTATAATAATTACATGGACCACCGAACTAATGTGTACATTATAAAACATTAACAAAAGTTGATATTTGGCCTGGCTCATGTGGCTTAGTGTTTGAGCATCAACTCATTAACCAAGAGGTCACCGGTTCCATACCAAGTCAGGGCACTTGCCTAGGATTAGAGATTGATCTCCAATAGGGGGCGTGCAGGAGGTAGCCGATGGATGTTTCTATCTTTTTATCCCTCTCCCTTCCTATCTTTCTAAAATCAATAAAAAACATGTTTATTTTTTTTTAAGTTGACATTTTTAAAAATAAAAACTCAACAAGGTAAACAACTTAAGAGAAGAAATTCTAAAGCTTTTTCTCTACCCCAGTAGTTTATCTTGTGCCTCCTGGGATGCAGCCACCCTACTTGGATGCTGTATTAGAGTGTTTCAATTAAGAGTTGATGAAGAATCTCAAACATTTAATCTGTTGAAGTGCCCACATGTTCACCAAACTTAGTGAAAATATTTAGCGATCTCTAACTTCAACTCACTACCCTGTTTTAAATTTCTTAAACACCAAGCAATAAAACTGGCTCCATAAACACATTACTTCATCAGTTTCTCACAACTATAATCAGAGCCTCTGAACGTCAGGATCACATCACTAGTATACATTAGACTCTTTCACAACAGATCAAATAACCTTAAGACAAAAGGGGAACCACCAGTGTGGCTCAGTGGTTGAGCATCAATCTGTGAACCAGGAGGTCACGTTCAATTCCCATTAGGGGACATGCAGAATGCAGCCAATCAATGATTCTCTCTCATCATTGCTGTTTCTATTTCTCCATCTCCCTCTCCTAAATCAATAAAAAAAAAATGTTTTTTTTAATGGGAGAGGGTATGCGTACAGATTTGGGAGAAACTTAAAATAGTAATGACCATCACAAAACTGACTAGTTTCTGTCTTTAAAAAATGGTAAGGCAACTAAAAAACAAAATAGAAACAGAGGCATGATGAATACATTTAAAAAGTGTTAACAGAAAATTGTGATAAGAACTACATTATGCTATTATCTGGAGACTTTTTCGGTTAGTCCCCTTATTCGATACAATGTAATGACTGGCTCCTATCTGGGTTTAAGCAGCTGAAAACTAGCACTTGAGTGATCCCTGCCAAAGGTGAAGGTTTCCATGGAGTTCTCCGAGTTCCCAGGAGCACGAAGCAGAACCTCTCTGTTCAGTGCCCCCCAAGAACCTGCAGTGCGCTGGGCACCAGGGTTATGCAAAGTTGAATGAGACCCTGACTTTTTAGGTCAAGTGACATTTAGGAATTAATAACTCGATCATGGAGAAAAGTTCCTACTTAAGAGCAGAATACTGGAAATAATTATCTGCCGGGGAAAACAGGACCAGGCATCCTGGGGGGAAGACCATTTGATCTGGACGATGAAGATGAATTGTAGTTCAGGAAGAGGAGGAGTGGGAAGGTAAAGAAGTCAAGGAAAGAGAAATTAACACTGAGCACCCAACTGGGTGAATGTGTATTATCTCGTGTAACCGTCAGGAAAACCTTGAAGTGAGAAACGAATGTGGAGAAACTGGCTCAAGAAGGTTGAGGAACTAGCACAAATCACACGTGCAGTTCTCTCTGCCGAGATTGATTCAAGGCTGCATAGCTAGGTGAGGGCCGTGTAGTGATACCAACATTTCACTGTATATTATTCGTGAGGATACAGAGGAGTTGCACTTGCCAGGACTGTTCTTAGGAAGCATAGTATATGTGTTGGGAAAATAAAGAATGCGTAAGCTATTTGGGATGCGGATGTCGCCGGGGTCTCAGAAGGGCATGCTGGCATAGCTGGTTGTTTCAAAGGGGGATATTTTCCTGAATGAGGCTGCATCTTTTCCTGTAATACTCAGGAGTCTCTTCTTTAAATAAATGTTTAACAGATATTTAAGGACTATTCATTTAAAAGGGCTCCAACTAATAGTGTGCTCAGGATCTCACTTGTTCTTGAGTGGTTATAGAAGGGTTAATCCTTAATCTGCTTAACTCCGAACCCATTGCTGTCTTGAGATATACAGTGCTGCCTATGGTATGAAACTGGCGTGCAGACAGACAGGCAGATAGGCAACCTACAGAGAGATAGATGCAGAGATTGGGGAAGAACTAAATGGTGATTCTAAAGATTGTGCTGCTGGTCTTCTCCCAGGAGTGTCTGGTTATAATCTTAATGTATTTTCTTCAGCTTTTTATCATAACCACAAATTTTTCAGGTAACTCCTATGAGGAACAAGATGAGGTAAGAATGAGTGAAACCATAAGTCTCTGTTAAATCTTCCACTGTGTATTTGTCATCTTCAGGGAATTACTACAATCAAGGGGAGATTCGTAAGAAAGAACTTTTGCAGAGCTGTGATGTTTTGGGGATTCCACCCACCAATGTAATGATTATTGACAGCAGGTAATTCATCTGTATTAAAGATTTGATTGACAACACATCTAATGTTTCACTATATTAGCTGCTGCTTATGAAATATATTCTTTATCATGTTAAACGCTGTTGGGAAGTGATGCTCACTTCCTCACTGTGTTAGATTGAGCGAGGAGGGAGCTCCTGTTCACATCAGTGCCCTACAAAGAGATAAGGGAAAGTTTCGATTTATTCTCAGTTTTACTTGGCTCAGGGTAAACTGTTGGGATCATTGTGGGGGAACTTCTTCTCTGTCAATGCCCGTGGATTTTGTAATGCTTTTGAAAGCACAAATCTGGGGCCAGACTGCCGGGACTAAAACCCCAGCTTCATCAGGTTATTAACTGTGCGTGTGGGGAAGTTGCCTAGTCTCTGTTCCTAAACTTCTTCCTCAGTAACCCTTGGGAGATACATGGTTTTGAGTCAGTTTGTGAAATAAATCATTGCTCTCTTATTTTCAAAGATGACATACTTCCCTTTTACACTGTGGTTATATGTTGTGATTTATTTTCTCACTGTTAATGATAATATTAATGGGCTTCTCTGCTCAGGCACCCCATTTGCACACAGACTTCTGCCTGTGCGGTTGGCTCAGCAATGCAAGATGTTTTTTGAGGATTAGATCTGAGTTGTGAGAACTGTAGTCAAACCAAACATCTCAGCTCGGTTATAAAGTTCCCTACTCTTGTCATGTCATCATTTTTTACATGTTTTCTGCATCCTGAAGATCATGCAGCTTCAACAAGTAGCATACTTGTTGAAATGCTACTGTAGAGGTGTAGTAAACTTGTTAAGAATAAATTTGTCAAGAAGCCAGTTTGAAGATGAAAAGAAACCATGTACCTTGGTCTGCTCAGGCGACCATAGGAAAGTTCCAGTAGGGTGGCTCCAACAACAGCCATGTGTGATCTCAGAGTTCTGGAGGCTGAAACTCCCAGATCACGGCCCCATGGGTGGGCTCTGGAGAGGATTTGCTTCTTAGCTTGCAGGCGGCCGTCCTCTCACCGTATGCTCACATGGAGGGAGAGAGAGGAGAGAAATTTCCCTTTCTCTTCTTAGGCCACCAGTCCTATAGGATTAGGGTTCTACCATTATGACCTCACTTAACCTGAATTACTTCCTAAAGACCCTATCACCAAATACAGTCACATTGGGGGTTAATGCTTCAACAGATGGATTTGGGGAGGATGCAGTCAGTTCCTAGCAACATGCAACCTTTAGTCTTTCAGTCTCTAACTTCATAATCCAGAAAAGGCAGAGCTTTAGAATTTTATTTCAGGTGATTTAGATGAGTCAGAGAGAAGAATGAAGGGTAAGAAGAGAAAGGAACGTTTTATGGAGGGCCTATACTCATAATAATGACAGTAAATATGTATTAAATCATCATTGTCAGTACCCAAAACCATACTAAATACATGATCTTAATGCTTAAAGAAATACAATTACTTGTCTGATGTTATAGATAAGAAACTGAGGAATAGTGAGAGATTGAGTAATTTGCCCGTTGTCATCCAGCATAGGTGGTATAGAGCTGGCGTTTGAATTGAAGCAGTTTGGCTCCAGAGCCTCTGCTTCAACCACTATATTTTATGCCCACTCCATGCCTGACAAAGGCCATCTCATGTAATTCTTCCACTATTGTGCAAGAAAGGTTTTATTATCCTTTTTTGTTTCACTCAAAGAAACTGAAGCTCATAGACATTGAGAGAATCCTCTGAGGCCTTGCCAATGTGGCGCAGTTGGTTGAGCATTGTCCTGTGCACCAAGAGGTCACCTATTCAATTCCTGATCAGGGTAGCAGGCACGATCTCCAGTACGGGGCGTGCAGAAGGCAGCCGATCGATGTTTCTATCGCCATCTCCCTTCCTCTCTCTCTAAAATCAATAAAAACATACTTTTTTTAAAAAAGAGAATCCTTGCCTGGCCAGCATGGCTCAGTGGTTGAGCGTTGACCTATGAGCCAAGAGGTCAAGGTTTAATTCCCAATCAGGGCACATGCCCAGGTTGCAGGCTCAATCCCCAGTGTGGGGTGTGCAGGAGGCGCCAATCAATGATTCTCTCTCATCATTGATGTTTCTCTCTCTCTCTCCCTCTCCCTTCCTCTCTGAAATCAATAAAAGTATATTTAAAAAAAATTTTTTTTAAAGAGACCCCCAGAGGTTTAGTAAATGGCAGTGCTAGAATTCAAAAACAGAAAGGAAGACGGGATTGATTCCTGGCTTTCTGCAGGAAAGTAAGCCACCACTTTGTTACTGCACTTGAAGACCAATGTATTATCTGAATGCATTTAATGACATTGTGCATGGTCAGTTTCCCTCCATTGTTCTGAACTTCATTGCTGGATTTCTAGGAGATATTTAGCAAGAGGAGCCTACCAAGTAAACCCCTTATCTAATTTCTTAAAGAGGGGGAAAATTCAGTTCTCAAAAAAAGAAGGCGTAATTTCAGTCATTAGACACCTAAATGGATACTTTCAGTAATTCTACCCAGTTCCATAATATCTATGGGTTCTGTTAACTTAATGAGTCATATGATATTGAAATGCATATTGTTAATAATACATAGTCAAAGGCACTGTAATAGATGTTGAAGAAAGAGCAGAGCAGTTCAAGATGCAGGAGCTGAATAGTAGGTGCTGGCCTGGCAGTCACCACAGCTGGTTTGTGGAAGGCTGTTCCACTGTGATGCTGAAAGCCAGGCTAGGAGGGCAGTTAGAGACGGTAACTGAAGCATTTGGGAATTGTATGTGATTAGAAAATGCAACCTGTGGATTTAGTGCTCATTTGTTGGGTTTGTGCTTCTTAATATAAATCCATAGAATTATTTATTTTTAAATAATTATTTAAATAATTATTTAATAATTATTTAAATTATTTTAAATTATTATTTATATTTCAAAGCAAAAGAAAACAAAAAGCACCCACATATTTTTGTATACATAGATAATTTCTAAAAGGATACATACCTTAAAGTAGCTTCTACTTAATTGGAGTTTGAAAGAGGAATGCTTTCATTTTATTTAATTTCAGAGATTTCTGTACAGTTTGCTTTTTTAAGGAAACCTTTATGACTTTAAAAAATACATATATACATTTTTTAAGACTACCCCTAATAAAACATTCTCTCTCTACTCAGTTTCTATCCATACAAGTCAATGCTAAGTTAGAAATAAATCTAATGGAGATTAATAATTAATAATTTATCCCAATAAATCTGTGTATATTTTGATACTTGATTTGGTAAATTCAAAACAGAATAGAGTTCCTTGAAAAAATAATATTGCTCTTAAGCCTTTTTATAGACACTACTAGAGGCCCGGTGCACAAAAATTTGTGCACTCAGGGAGGGGGGAAGTGGGGGGTCCCTTAGCCTGGCCTGTGCCCTCTCGCAGTCTGGGACCCCTCAGGAGATAACGCCCTGCTGGCTTAGGCCTGCTCCCGGGTGGCAGAGGGCAGGCCCAATCCCTAGGTGCAGCCCCTGGTCGGGCTCAGAGCAGGGCCGATTGGGGAGTTGGGGCGCCTTCCCCTGTCATGCACAGAGCAGGGCAGATTGGGAGGTTGTGATGCCACCCTCAGTCATGCTCAGAGTATGGCCGATTGGGGGGTTGGGGCACCGCCCCGTCACACTCAAGGCAAGGTCGATGGGGAGGTTGCGGCGCCACCCCCTGTCACGCACAGAGCAGGGCCCATCAGGGGGGTTGGGGCTCCGTACCCTGTCATGCACAGAGCAGGGCCAATCGGGGTTGGGGCGCTGCCCCCTGTCACACACAGAGCAGGGCCCATCGGGGGGTTGGGGCTCCGTACCCTGTCACACACAGAGCAGGGTCAATCAGGGGGTTGGGGAGCTCCCCCCTGTCATGCACAGAGCAGGGCCAATCAGGGGGTTGAGGAGCTCCCCCCTGTCACTCACAGAGTAGGGCTGATAGGGGAGTTGGGGCACCGCCCCCTTTCACACTCAGGGCAGGGCGGATCAGGGGGTTGGGGTGCCGCCCTCTATCACCCACAGAGCAGGGCCGATCAGGGGGTTGGGGCGCCGCCACTGTCACACTCAGGGCAGGGCCAATGGGGACGTTATGGCTCTACCCCATCACACACAGAGCAGGGCCCATGGGGGGGGGGGGGTTGGGGCACCGCACCCTGTCACACACAGAGCAGGGCCCGTGGGGGGAGGGGTTGGAGTGCCACCCTCTATCACCCACAGAGCAGGGCTGATCAGGTGGTTGGGACGCCGCCACTCTCACACTCGTGGCAGGGCCGATGGGGAGGTTATGGCTCTACCCCGTCACACACAGAGCAGGGCCCGTGGGGGGGTGGGGGGGTGGGGGCGCCGCACCCTGTCACACACAGAGCCGCAGGGCGATCAGGGGTTGGGGAGCTCCCCCCTATCAGGCACAGAGCAGGGGTGATCAGGGGGTTGGGGCGCCTTCCCCTGTCACAAACAGAGCAGGGTGGATAGGGAGGTTGTGGCCCCACCCCCTGTCACACACAGAGCCGCAGGGCGAGCAGGGGGTTTGGGCGCTGCCCCTGTCACGCTGATCCCGGTGCCGGGAGGCATATTACCCTTTTACTATATAGGATAGAGGCCTGGTGCATGGGTGGGGCTGGCTGGTTTGCCCTGAAGGGTGTCCTGGATCAGGGTGGGGGTCCCCACTGGGGTGCCTGGCCAGCCTGGGTGAGGGGCTGATGGCTGTTTACAGCTGGTCACACTCCCTTCAGGATGGGGATCCCCACTGGGGTGCCTGGCCAGTCTGGGTGAGGGGCTGAGGGCTGTTTTCAGGCTGACTGAAGCTCCCAACTGCTCCTTTTTTTCTTTTTTTCTTTTTTATTCTGGGCCAGCTTTAGCTCTGGCTCCAGCTCTGAGGCTTCTGCTGCTGAAAGAAGGTATCTGGTTTGTTTCAGTTCTATAATCGAAACAATGTATAACTCCAGCTCTGAGATCCCGGCCTCGCTGAAAGCAGGTTTCTGGGGTTTTGTTTAGCTTCTATATTTGTT